CTGTGTTCCTGCATGGCAGGGGGTTGGACTGGATGGCCCTTGGGGTCTCTTCCAACTTTGATTCTATGATTCTGTGATGTGCAAAGGATGTGCTGTTTTTTAAACAGGCAATATGTGTATTCATTTTTAAATTGTTTCTTTAAACTGTTTTCTTTAAAATGATTAAATTATTAATTTAATTATCAAAGAATGAATTATTGTTAAATAATTATTTAATAATACTTAATGAAAATAATTAAAACAATTATTTGCAGATGACACCAAATTAAGAGGAATAGCTAATACCCTAGAAGACAGGATGAAAATTCAAAATGACCTTAATGAATTAGAAACCTGGGCAAAGCTAACAAAACGAATTGTGACACAGAGAAATTTAATGTATTGCACTTAGGACAAAAAGAAATGAAATGCATAGATATAAGATGGGGGACACTTGGTTGAATGAGACTACGTGCGAAAGGGATCTAGGGGTCCTAGTAGACCACAAGTTGAACATGAATCAACAGTGTGATGCCATAGCTAGAAAGGCCAATGCAATTTTAGGCTGCATTAATAGAAGCATAGTATCTAGATCAAGGGCAGTAATACTGACACTGTATTCTGCTTTGGTCAGGCTCCATTGGGAATACTGTGTCCAGTTCTGGGCATCACAATTCAAAAAGGATGTTGAAAAATTGGAGTGTGTCCAGAGGAGAGTGACTAAAATGGTCAAGGGTCTGGAAACCAATCCCTATGAGGAACGACTTAGGGAACTGGGTATGTTTAGCCTGGAGAAGAGACGGTTAAGAGGGGATATGATAGCCCTCTTTAAATATTTGAGGGGATGTCATATTGAGGCAGGAGCTAGCTTGTTTTCTGTTGCTCCAGAGAAGAGTATTTGGAACAATGGATGCAAACTACAGGAAAGGAGATTCTATTTCAACATTAGGAGGAACTTCCTGACAGTGAGAGCTGTTTGACAGTGGAACCCACTCCCTCAGAGTGTGGTTAAATCTCCTTCTTTGGAGGTCTTTAAACAGAGGCTGCATGGCCATCTGTCAGGGATGGTTTCATTTTGAGTTCCTGCATGGCAGGGGCTTGGACTGGATGGCCCTTGGGGTCTCTTCCAACTCTATGATTCTATGAATTATTTTAAAATAATTAAAAAAATTACATTTAAAACAATGCTTTAACTGGGCTTATTGTTTACTGGGTTTTGAACTTCTGCATCACATATTGTTTTAGCTTTTTTGTTTTAACTTAGGTTGTAAGCCACTTTGCATCCCATTTTCAGAAAAAAGTGGGATATAAATAAAATGAATCAATCAAAATAAAAGTAGTGAAGGGCAGGGAAGGAGTTTTAATATTCAAAGGGGGCTGGTTTAAAAAAGAACCAATGGACATACCCAAACCTTTGAGTAAAGTAGTGTTTTGGCTGCTAACCAATAGTTGTTCACAATTTACATAGAATCCGTTGAAATTATGGGGAGGGAAAAGGGGGGGAAAGTGATCCCTAATGATGCCCAAATTGATTTGTGCTGCACATTTTGAGAATGACTAAAAGACATATTTTCTTAAGCTGCTGATTACTCTCGTATCTCCAGCCTTTATTCTTTTCCCAAGCAATAAATTAAACTTCATTTCTGTTTATTTTTTATTATTCCTGTCTCAGTTTCCTTTGCTGTGCATGGCGGCACAGGGATCTCCTGCTATGTAATTTAGGTGAGCCGTCAGCACAGCTTTGGAACTGTACAGTTTGTTTTGAAAAGATTAAGCCCATTAACTGTTTGAACTTTGCCAGTTCAAATTTAGTCTTCCTGCCAAAATCTGCTCAAATATTTTGAAACGCAGCCTTTCCTGAGACCACCTAGAAGACTGTAAGAGACACAGTTTAAAACATTATAAGATTCAGAACTCCAATAGTTTCTTCTTGCAGAGACACAAAATAAGTTTGGATGAGTCCAGTTTCAAATTACACATAGCTTGAGAGAGAGAAGAATTTGTGCAAGATTTGGAAAGTTTATTTTGTACTATAGTTCCAAGAATCCCAGTACTTACAGATCGCAATGACATTGCTGTCTGGGGATTCTGGGAGTTGCAGTTCAAAAAAGGAACTTTTTCATTGGATTTGTATTTTTTTTAAAAAAAATACTTTATTTCAGTTTAAATGATCACAAACTACAAAATATTTCTTTGTTTCCTCACCCCCCAACCCAACTCAATTTCCCTCTTAAACTTATATTCAACAAATTATTTATCAGTAATCTTATAATATAAAGTTCTTAATCAAAAAGAGAAAAACATAGCTTCTTTATTTCTTTACTTCCTTCTACAATGTCTAGGTAATGCAAAATATTTTTTTTTATTTTATTCTACTTCAAAATGCATATATTTGAATGATTCTTCAATTTTTTTATCCCTATCAATTTCTTAAGTGATTATCTCTTATTGTAATTATTATTATATATATTTAAGCTCATTGTCTGATTTTTCTCATATTTACAGCTCAAGGTGTTTTTCACAGTATCTTAGAAATGTTTCCATCCTTGTTTGTGTATTTCATTGGAGTCTCCTTCAATTGTGCTTGTCAATTTATCCATCTGGATAGTCTCTATCGTCTTATCATCATTCTTCAATGGTAGGGCTTCTGAAGTTTTCCATTTTTGTGCCAGAAGTATTCTCGCTGAAGAGAACATATACAAGAAATTTTTCCAATATTTATTACCATCTCCAGTATTTATTACCATTGTGTTTTATAAATCATATTGAGGAGGTATGTCTCTGGATTGAATTTATAAAAGATATCAAAAATATTACATATTGTGTTGTGTAGGTGTTTCCAGAATTGTTTAATTATGGGAGAAGACTACCACATATGGAACCACAAACCTATGGTTGTTGTTTATTTGTTTTTTTTGGCATTTCCAACATGTAGGTGAATAATTTTTATATATTTTCATTAATTTTGCCAGAGTTCAGTGCCATCTGGTCTTCATTTTATAGTAGTTTTCTCTAATGCTTTGGCACTTTGAAAACTCATATGTGATTTGTCTTGCCTGTATCCATTTGTCTAAATGAATTTCCCTCCCTATATCTTTAGCCCATCTGAAGATATGATCCTTGATCAGTTGTTGTTCTAATTTCCTTTCAAGAATTATCTTGTATAATTTAGATGTTTGTTTTGGTTTGTCTTCTAGTAGGATGTTATCAATCTCATTTCTTTCCAAAAATAGTTCCTGTTGCTTCTGATCTAGTTCCTGTTGCTTCTGATCTAGCTTTTGTTCTAAGCCTTGGATCTCTGTTATCTCTTTTAATGTTTCTTTACCATCATTTGATTTTGTTCTTAAAAATATCATCATATTTTAGCCAGTTCTTATTAAGTTTTGTTCTATTTAAAAGATCCTTTTGTAGAGAGACCGACCTGGGGATTCCCCTGTAAAAGTCTGCTTTTATTTTTTTGTCAAGTTTTCAAAATGGCTGTCCTCAGAAAATGATGCTCAAATTCTTTGAGTGCCTTTTCCTTATCATACCATAGGTATGCATGCTAACCAGATCTAAAGTTGAAGCCTTCCAGATTTAGTAGTTTTCTTGTTGTTAAGATTTATCCATTCTTTTGACCAGTTTAATGCATTGGCATCAAAGTATGATTCCAAATCCACTGTTTTCTTTAAGCTCGATTAGTGTTTTCCATTTGACCCTTGGTTTCTTCCCTTCCCAGATAAATTTTCCTTTTGGATATATGTATGCCCCAAATTTTTGTTTTATTGACCACTTTGCACTATGTTTTCTTTTGAATTATTATCTCTTCTTCTGGTAACATATTTTTGTGATGATATTTGTTTTCTGTTAATTTATCATGAATCAGCTGAGTTCCTGAATTTATTCAAAATTTCCATTAATTTCTCGATACTTTCTACTGGGTTGTCCAGGATCACCACCAAATCGTCAGTGTACAATTATGGTTTGAATTCAAATCCTTTTATTTTTGTGCCTTTTATAGATGTTTCTTGTCTGATATTATTATTTAATGCTTCTAAGGTTACTTCAGTCCCCAAATTTCTAGCACTGCAAGTGAGTGAAACATCACACCTAGAACTCTTACATTTTCTGGGTTTATATTCCCTTGATAACTTTGCCTACCCACTTTTCCTTCATTTCTAAACTTTATTTCTAAATGCTCAACTGAAGTTTTAAGCTAATGCTAGAAATAAGAGACGGTGGGAAAATTAAATGGGGAGCAGAATTCTAATGGTTGCTGATGTCCTCATTTTACAGGTACACCCCTACTTGCCTGAAAAGCCCTTGTAAAGGTCTTCCAAATATATGCAGACACTAAAAGCTCATGCTCTGTGGCAATAGATATATTTATAACAAATATTTTGCCTAAAGAAGGGGTGAAATAATCTAAGTGGGGATTTAATCATATTCAAAAATTTGTGAAAGAGGCAGTAGAAGAAGAGTTTAGTTTATCTGTATAGCATAAGTTTTCCATTTCTGCCCTGCTACCATTGTCTCAAGAATTATCAGCCATTGTCAGGATGAGTCCATTTTATGTAAATAGAGTTGTCATCATTCACTTCTACTGGTGCTGAACGATTTATAAAATATTTTTTTTATATATATATAGAAAGTGATGAATAAATCAGAGGGCAGAAATATTCAAAATAAGATGTTGTGTTGATAAATAACATCCCTCATTCATGGATCCCACCCATGGTGTCTTTTATCTTCAAGTATGGGAGAAAGTCAGAAAGGGAAAATTATGACATGTCACCCCCATTTAAAAAAATGCTCAAAAAAATGTCTGAGAGGGTAGAAGCTTTGCATAATACTTTGCAGGAATGCTTACAAAAATCTCTTTACCAGACTTTCTCTCTGGACTTCTATAGCAGGGTAACCTGAGACCCATTAACACTACAGAATTATAGCACTATTAATCCACTTTAGCAGCCATGGATCCATCCTATGGAATTATGGGATTTGCAGTTTAGCGAGGTGCATTTTTAATCCCTACAGCATGAACCAGTGTGGTGTAGTGGTTTGAATACTGGATTATGACTCTGGAGACTAGGGTTCAAATCCCAGCTTGGCCATGGATACTCATTGGGTGACCTTGGACAAGTCACACTCCCTCCGCCTCAGAAGATGGCAATGACAAACTCTCTCTGAAGAAATTTGCCAAGAAAACCCATAATAGGTTCACCTTAGGGATCACCATAAGTTGGAAATGACTTGAAGGCACACAACAACAACAAATTTAGAATTCTTAGCCAGAGCCCTCCAGTACCTGACCAAACATCAGGCCTCAGGATTCCATAGGATGCAACCATGGGGCTCAGAGAGAGGTCTTTCTTTTCCAACAACTGCTATGTAAAGATATCCACCCAATACTTTGGGTGGATCCTGGGAGATTCAGCATTCAAAACATGTACTCCACCACTGAGTCAGAGTCTCTTGCCAAAGTACTGTACTAGGATTATTCTCTGTATT